CTCCATCATAGAGAAGGTGAACACACCATTCAAATTTGTTATTAAAGAAGGATTCTGAATTGAGAAAAGGCAGCCTTTGTTAAATAAGCAAATTGCATCCTATATGATGTCAGTCTTGCAGATGCAAAAATAATGTTGAAGAATTCGAACAAATGCTAGTTGCGCAAGCCCTTCAATTTTTGTTATTATGTATTTTGAATTATTGAGTTATCTTCTCTTTGTAAAAATATTAAATTATTGTCCGTTCCAAGTCTGTGCTTTAATTTTGCATTTTAACTTAAAAATTTAAATCAGTGTAAATCTTTGGCTGCCCTTGAATACGGATTGCGAGATTCACTTGATAAACATCATCTTTGTTTTGCTTTATCACCAAGACTCTCATGTCGATATCCTGCAAAAAAAGTTGACCGATATTGACTATGCAGATGGTCTAGGTATCATTGCAGACACCATTACCCATTCCACAGTTCTCCTCCATCTTCTAGAAAATGCTGCCATACAATGTTGAACTCTTTGTCAATTCCTCTGAAACTGAATTCATAAGCTTCAACCAGCAAAGCTCAGTGCAAACTCCTTCGAGCGAATCAATAATACCTGTCGAATAAGAAGCAAAATAAATTCTACCGAAAAAGATTTGAAAATAGTTAAAGCCTGGGCCACCTTGATTGAGTGATTTGTTTGTTTGTTTAACCGGTATATCAACTCCTTGTGGGTCATTTAATGCCGAAATTTAATTTTCTTGGGAGCTTTGAAGTAATTTAGCAATTTTTTTAAGCATTTCACCCCAAGGAAGGCGAGAGTGCCACTAACACGCAAAGGGGTTACAGAGTAGGAACGAGAGTAATGAGGCGTGATTGAGGAAAGAATGAAGAGAAGGACGGAGAATAGATCAAGGCATCTGGAGATGTCGATTGACATTAAATTTAAATAGTTGGAGATTATAGCTATCAGGAAAACAAGTAATAGGAAGAGAATTCTACAGACGGGAGGTGCGAGACGTGAAGCTATTGGAGTAGAAGAGACGGCCATATTTAACCGTTTCGTCATTGAAAGGGTGGGACCGTGATGCCAGCCTAGTAGCACGTTTAAATTCATGCAGTCTGGAAACTAGCGAAAGTAGCTCGTCGGAGTAGTTACCGTGAAAGTATTTTCAGAAAAGACAGAGGGAGGCGACGGCACGTCTGTGAGAGAGTGACTGTAGACGAGATGTCAGATCAAGGCCAATAACAATGCATATCCGTCTCTAGATTTTATCGAGGACCTTAAGACGAACAGCGGGGTCCCCAGACCATATATAGCAGCAGTATTCCATGCAAGGGCGAATGGTTGATTTATAGATTTGAAGGAGGTTACTATAAATGTGTACTGTTGCTAATCTATTTATATAAAAATCTATTGTGGGTGTTTCTACTATAAAAATGTATTTTTATCCTTTCATAGTATTTCGTTTTTGTTCACTACTTTTCCCATAGCTGGGACCCTAAACTTGTCCTATCACCCCGGGTCAGGGTAGACCTGGGAACAACAGCAATTAATAGATGATTCCACTCTCCTCAAAACGATGTGAGGCCTTGTTTCCAGATGTTGTTTATTGTCATACCCAGAACTAGGTTCGCCTTGAATAAAATGGATATAAATTGGAAATCTGATCTACCCGACAACCTCAAACGGAGATTCTTTTGCGCCACTGTAGATTCGGTTTTAATGTATAGTACGACTTCTTGGATATTAACTAAAATCCTTGAGTCTAAGCTTGATGGAACCTACACTCAGATGCTTAGCGACATGTTTAACATCTCTTGGCGACAGCATCCAACTAAATCACAGCTCTATGGTACCATCACTGACATTTCTACAATATGTCGTGAATGAAGAATTCGCTTTACAGGACACTGCTGGCGAGCAAAACAAGAACTTACGAGTGATCTACTGCTCTGGACATCTAGCCATGAAGCAAGGTGGGTTGGTCGACCAATATCAGTAACCGCCTAGATTAATGTAATGTAGGTAATGCCACAGGATGTGACCCTAATGACTTTCCAACCTTGATGTAGGTTAGCGTGATAGACTCATGAATGACGGAGATAACTCGACCGAATAAATAAATTTTTTGACTGATGAAGGGAATAAAATATGTACCTATGTCCAATAAAAATTGTTATACATAAATAACAGCTAATAGCTAGCCACTCGTATTCGAGGATACCCGTCTACTAGGGAGGCTAGCCAATCCCTATTGCAGAAACTCGCTCAGGCACATTTGTGTTTGCTCAACACCCACAGAGTGTTTTTTTGGTCTATGCTGCAACTATGCTAAGCAGACTTTAGTTAAAGTTTCAGGGAGAGAAGCTGTTATCTCGTGTGATCAGCAATCTGAACAAGGCCAGCACACTCAAGTCCTCGGTCACGATGACTTGTGACTTCGTGCTAGCACAGCTATCGATGGCAATCAAGAGTTCCATCTACCCAACTTCACTCACAAGGCTTGGCTCAACACGTGCTATGGTTTTCAGGCACTTTCCAAAGGTGCAGCATGCTGGGATCGACCTCGAACCATTCCGATGACATCAAGTGACAGACGAACATTGTACTTACCACAACCTTGATCGATTCACACCGTTGTGCCTGGTTCCAGTGGACCACTATGTGCCTTTTCAGTCCAGAGCTGATTGTGCATACCTTGTCACACAGAGTGCAGGCTGTGATACTCTGTGTCTGGGGAATATCAAGGGTGATTTTTTTTTTTCCTTTACGTGACCTCAAATGATTCACTCAGCCAGCCTTTGAAAGAAGTATGCGCTGACACAAATCACATGTCCAGCCGTTGATACCCTCGCCGAGTCCGTGGTTATCACCCATTCGAAGCCCCCCCCCTTCGGCCGTTTGTGTTCCAGACGACTTTCTTCAAAGATTTGACACCTGTTTCTTATTTGCCCCCCTCCATCCAGTTCTATCTAGGGACATCTCTTCCCATTTGTTGAAGTCAGCTTTTTTTTTGGGGGGGTTCTTGATACAGTCCTTGTATCTTTTCCTTGGTCTGTACTGAGGACGCCTTCCGATACTCAGCACACCATAAATCAATTGTTTCGAGGGTTTACTTTCCTTCATTCGAATTGCGTCCTGTTCATCGCATTTGGGAAGATGTTACAAGAGTCTCTATGTTTTGTCATATGGCTCTGACTAGGACATCAGTATCAGGAGATCTGCTTTCCCATTTGACATTCAATATGCGTCTTACAGGCATACATACATACATACATACATACATGCATACATATTATGAAATGTCCGAGAAATTTTCATAGAAAATATTCGTCCTTCGACAGGATTCGAACCTATACGGAACCGTCATATAGCCTGACGTGGCTTACCGCTCGGCCACAAAGGATCGTTCAGTTGGCAAGGTCGAATTTACTGCTTATAAACTTCAATTTTCCATGAATCTCTCACGTACATTCATAACTGCTCATGGCGTATCAAATGTAAACAAATGACGTCACACCTTATGAAATGGACAAAGTCCGACATTTATTTTAAGACATTTTTATGTTTAACATTCTTTTTATAGATACAAGTATTTATACACAGTAAATTCGACCTGGCCAGCCGAACAATCCTTTGTGGCCGAGCGGTAAGGCACGTCAGGCTATATGACGGTTCCGTATAGGATACAGGTTCGAATCCTGTCGAAGGACGAATATTTTCTATGAAAATTTCTAGGACCTTCGGGCGGGTAAATGTTATTTAATACTGTTTATTATGAACAGAGCATTTAGTTAAATACTTGTATCTATAAAAACAATGTTAAACATAAAAATGTCTTTATATATATTTCTAAATAATTTCTGAGATAAGGTGTTGTAACTATTTACATCGTTCGGACTGTTGTCCTCTTCTTTATTGCTATATTCACAACGTTTCGACCATTGCAAGTTCCGACCTTCTTCAGGTGATATAAGTTTGAATGTCCAACCGAACCTTTTACTTATTCAACAGGGGTAGATTGTTCTAATTCCGCATGCCATGCTTTTTTTTCTTCTTTTTTTTTTTTTTGATATCTCAGTTTCAGTTAATTCCCTTTAGTAACTCAACTCTACAAGCTTTTGTTCCTTCTGCTGTGGCCAGGTATTGAACTCACAACAGCAATTAAGAGGTAGTTCCACGCTCCTCAAAACCTACCGATCAGAGGCTTGCTGCCGGATATAGTTTATCGTCATACCCAAGACGCGCTCCCTTCAGTGAAAGATTTAAAAAATTCAAGAAACATTGTATGTACGAACTGTTTATTTATATGGTTATGTGCGAGAATATGTGAGTGAACAAGTGAGAACGAAACAACATTCTAATATATTTCAACATAAACTTTGTCGTGCAACTCAGAAAGCCAAACGGTCTACACGCGACACGTGAACCGCAGTTTGCGTATGGTGGATAAAGACATAATTGCGTGCGCGCACGCATGTGTGTTAACACAAAGGTAATGGCATATGTTGTTTATTATGTTGGGTTTTTTTAAGGGGATAAAGATATGTGTTTTGTGTATTCATCATGATGAACAATCAGAGAAATTGCAGTTCACTGAAGGATCCACAAGGAATCAAACGAGATTAATAAGAATCAATACCTCCAATTAATACCTTTCGCCTCCTTTTCTTTCTTCAGATTGTTTTTAACTCTCTTTTTAAGACCTGTAAACTTTTGCCTACTCTTTATTATCCAAACCAACGCTACCACCGCCATATTGAAACCCAAGCATCAGCGCCGCCACCCACTCCGTATTCTCCACCCTGCTATTAATAATAAAAATAACAAAAGGCGACTACAAAAATTCTGTCGATCGACACAGAACTTGTAGGAGGGATTAACATTAATCCAATCGAATTATCTCCGAACTGGGACATCGAACGCTGCGTTTAATTATAGATTTAGTTTTTGTTAATCCCTCCAAAATATGCTCTCCTATTTCTGAGCTCTTCACCAGCCTTACTCTCCGCACTGTTATGCTTATTACTCTCCCTCGCTCTCTCTCTCTCTCACTCTCTCCCTTTATATCTCATTCTCTCTTTTTTTTCTCTCTAGTTCGTTTGTTGTAAGGTTTAATACACTTTGCTCTCGTGCACATTTTCTCTCTCTTTCTCTCACATGTTCCTGTCTGGGTTTATTTTGTTTTAATTTCTTATTTATCTCTCTTTTTGTTTTTTCAACATCTCGCTTTCAACTTGTCACCCTCTATTCATTCACTGTTTCTCTTCTCTCCTCTTTGCTCTCGCTTCCCTGTATTTTCTCTAGGTTTCTTGTTTGTCTCTTTATTATGTTCAATGTCTCTCCCAAATTCTCTCCCCCCCCTCTCTCACTCTTTCTCTCTCTCTCTCTATATATATATATATATATATATATATATGCTCTACACCCTTTTTAATATTTTCTCAATGTCTGACATTTCTCTCTAGGTTTCTTGTTCAATGCCTCTCCCAAATTCTCCCCCCTCTCTCTCTCTCTCTCTCTCTCTCTCTATATATATATATCTACGCTCTTTTAATGTTTTCTCAATGTCTGACATTTCTCTCTAGGTTTCTTGTTCAATGTCTCTCCCAAATTCTCTCCCCCCTCTCTCTCTCTCCTCTCTCTCTCTCTCTCTCTCTCTATATATATATATATATATATATATATATATATATATATATATATATATGTTTAATGTTTTTAATGTCTTCTCAATGTCTGACATTTCTCTCTCTAGGTTTCTTGTTCAATGTCTCTCCCAAATTCTCTCCCCCCTCTCTCTCTCTCTCTCACTCTCTCTCTATATATATATATATATATATATATATATATATATGCTCTACGCTCTTTTAATGTTTTCTCAATGTCTGACATTTCTCTCTAGGTTTTGTTCAATGTCTCCCCAAATTCTCCCCCCTCTCTCTCTCTCTCTCTATATATATATATATATATATTACGCTCTTTTAATGTTTTCTCAATGTCTGACATTTCTCACTTGTTATTTAGTTCAGAGACTCGCTTGACTTTTGCAAACACCATGCGCCGTCAGCTTGGATGTGCGGGTGACGTAATGGATAAACGGCTCGGAATTGAAAATCGGAGAGCCAAGTTCCAATTTTATTCGGGTTCATTATATCCACTCGCGCGCAAATACCCTTGAGAAAGATCTGAATCCACTTCTTAGTGGATAACCACTTTTGAATAGACGTTCCGCTTTTTAAACAAAGTTATTAATCCTGTTAATTAACCCATAACTAGGGGGAAACCAGTGCCTCCAGTGTGTATCATGTGCTACCCGGCCTGGTAGCATATGGTACACACTCCTGTACCACATTGTACATAGCCCGGTAGAACATGTCCCTATTATGGATTAATTAACAGGACTTCTATTAGTAAATCATTATTAACTCCCCAAAATTCTTACAACGCAAATATATTTTCTAGCTTTAAATAACCTGAAAAAGGTTGATAAGCCGTAAAAATACATATCAATCAATCGTTTTTCATGCGATTCAATTCTTTTTCATTCTCTTTCGTTCTCTTTCCAACTCTTATTTTGCTTTTCACCGTTTTCATTTTCTCTCCTTCTTTCATTCTTTCAAACTTTCCCCTCGATTTCTTCCTCTTCTCTCTTGCTATTTTCATCAACATCTCACCTTAATTTCTATCACTCCTCATCCCCGTTTTCTTCTCTTTGCACACTCTTTCTTTCTTTCTTTCTTCTTCTTCTTCTTCTTCTTCTTCTTCTTCTTCTTCTTCTTCTTCTTCTTCTTCTTCCCACCCTTTTCTATTCTTCTCCAGATTTCTTCCTCATCTCACCTTAACTTCTATCACTCTTCATCCTCATTTTCTTCTCTTTTCTCTCTGTTTCTTTCTTTCTTTCTTTCTTTCTTTCTTTCTTTCTTTCTTTCTTTCTTTCTTTCTTCTTCTTCTTCTTTCTCCCCACCCTTTCTAATTCTTCTCCAGATTTCTCCCTCATCTCTCTTGTTATGTTACCCGCCGTCTCTGTTACTTGACCGAATATTTTTCCTTGCTTCCCCTTCCCGCATTTCTGTCGTCTGCTTCGCTTATCCTTTTGATAATTTCATATTTTCTATCTATCAATCAGCGTTGTTTTTGCTTTTTCTATTGTGACTAATTCCTTTTGTGTTTATCCACACATCTATCTATATATATATATATGTGTGTGTGTGTGTGTGTATGTGTGTGTGTGTCCACTCAATCACAAACGCATATATATGTACATACACATACATATATATACACACACACATACATACACAAACAACACACACACACATATATATATATATATATATATATATATATATATATATATATATATATATATATTATATAAATGGACAAGGTCCGACAATTTATTTATTAAAAGACATTTTTTTTTAACATTTTTTAACGTAGATACAAGTATTTAAACAAATGTTCTGTTTATGATAAACAGTATTTACCGGCCTGAATGTCCGAGAAATTTTCATGAAAAGAACGAACATTTTCTATGAAAATTTTCGACATTCAGGCTTAAATTTTATTTAATACTTTTATTATAAAAAGAGCATTTGCAAATTTTGTATCTATAAATAACAACGTTAAACATAAAAATGTATATATATATATATATATATATATATATATATATATATATATATATATATATATATATATATATATATATGTGTGTGTGTGTGTACATGCATACATACATACATATATCCGTATTTACCGTGCGTAACAGCAAAATTGTTCAAATCGTGAAAAAGCAAAATTGTTTAATTGTAAGATTAAGCTTTGAACCGTTGTATCTTAGAAATGATTAAATATATCTTACTGGAATTCTCCGAGGTTTTTGTAATACTATTGGATTCTACTTTAACAATTAGAATGTATTTAGTTCTAAGTTGAAATGATGATCCCTCTTCCTGTTGTGACCTCCTGATCCAGTTTTCCTCTCTAGTGTTCTTCCTTTTTAAACCTATTTGCCGTTCTCTTGATAATTCTTGAATGGACTTTGAAGATGGAAAGCCAGATTTTGAATGTTGGCACCATTACTGAAGGCATGAATGATCTTTTTCCTGTCACCATTGCTCATTTGGGAAGATATAGTGGAGCTGATACAAAACGATTTTAACCTGTTCTCTTTTTAGCTGAATAACTCCAAGAATTTTCGATGATTCTTACGACAAATGGTGTCAATATGGCTAAACGTCTAATCCGAAAACCTGGGGAAAAAACAATTAGCTTAGTTTTTTTTGTTTTTTTTAGATATTAAACATTTTGTGGGATAGACAATTATCCCATACTGTTACACAATTTGGACAATTTTGCTGTTACTCTCTCTCTCTCTCTCTCGCTCTCTCTCTCTCTCTCTCTCTCTCTCTCTCTCTCCACACACACACACACATATATTCGCAGATATATTTATATAAAATATATATATACTCACACACACACACACACACACACACACACACACATATATATATATATATATATATATATATATATATATATATATATATATATTAGATATTATTAATGTTCTGGAAAATAAAAACTTTTAAAATCAAAGAAATGAAGTAGCAGTTTTTGTAGACATTGTCTCATATTTTCCTTAGAAATAATTAATTATAAAAGTAATTTGCATAATTATATATATATATATATATACTATTTGATCATAAATAAATTTATAATTGCGTAATTAAATTCTAATTCTAATAAAATACCATTACTAGTAAATAAAATAAATATAGTATTTTAGATCTTTATAGATTAAAATATAAATATAAATAATATGATTTAATCATATTTGAGTGCCCCTTTAAGTTAATCTCGGTGTAGAAAAAAAGGAGAAAATAAAGAAAAGAATAAATAAAAATGCCAAATGTATTGTATTGTAACTCAAAATTTAAAAAAAAAAAAAAAAACAGACATTGATGACAAGTCCGCATAAAAGGAACTCAATATCAACAGACAGAAATCTCTAACCCCCACCTCACCATAACCGACTTTACCACATCAAAATTATACTTGTATCTTCATTCGTCAAAAATACCAACACCCATTTAATAAAAAATTCTGAATTCTCATTCCCACACCAACTTAAAATATATAATTATATTTGGCTTATAAAAAGAGTAAATCAATTTTTTTGAAGTTTATTCTCAGCATCGCTTAAAAATGAAACGAAACTTTTAAGTTTACTTTAAGCTTTAAGTTTTGATTTTGAAACAGTAATTTCTGTGTCGCGATGGAAAAATAGCGACGCAGGTTCGAACCCTGCAGCAGAGTATATTCTTTTTATTGAGTCTCTCGATTGCGCAGACCAATAGACATCATTTACAGTTAAAGGAAAACAAGGTTGTCTATTCAAACGTGGTTAACAAATTTAAGTTTTATTGAAAAAATACATTGCAGTAGTTTAAGAAAATTTATAAGTATTGTCACATCAGAACAACATGCTTTGCTATGATTAACAAACTATTTATCCTCTTCAAAATACTCCCGTTCAGGTTCAAAATACAACGCTGAACCCTATCAGCAACACTTCTACAAACCATTTGACATATTTTTACATCAATTTCAGGAAATCTATCAGAAATATTTTGTTTTATTTCGGCAGTTGTTTTCGTTTTGAACCCATAAACAATATCTTTCAGTCCACCCTACAAGAAAATGCCGGGTGGTGTTAGGTCTGGTGATCGTGATGGCCACTCATTTCCTTCATGTCGACTTGTCCATCTCAGCTCGAATAAAGAGGGCGTTACTTTTTCCGCACATTGTATATAATGGTAGCTATTAACACTGCCAATTAGAATATGTACAAATATATAATTTAACTTATATCAAAGTGAATAGAAAGACTATGCCTTTTCTATAAATACTTTCGTGATAATTGTTAGGATGAGTTCTTTGCTGTGGAATAGTGTCGTATGTTTGGGTCAGTGTTTGTGGTTAGTTAAATTTAACATTAAGACAGAAGAAGAACGTCCTTTTCCCCCATTCACCATTTTGGCCTTGTGCCACATTTCTGTGTATAACAGAATAAATAAGGCTCTTCGCTAGGGTACGTAGACTTCATGAATTCAAACGCACTACTATGGCGTCGAGATCTCATCCATTTACAAAATTAATCAAATTTTCCTTATCTTTTTTTGAATATCATTTAACTACAGAACAATTGTTTTTTTGTTTATCATCACTTGCCTTTATAAAGTACAATGACAAAACATGTCGGCAAGAACTAAGTACTATATTCCGATTGTCTATTGTATTCACTTTGTCTTCCCTACAGATATATTCTGAGAACTTTCACACAGAGTCGACATGGGAAACAAAAACACAGTCAAAAAAAAAAAAAATGTTACTAATATCCAAAAAGATGCTTTCGCAGGAGCGTCTTATTAAGATTTTAGAATTCCTAAGTCTTTCTAGCTTGAATGATGAGAAGCGAGAAAGACTTGGGAATTCTACAAGACTAGCCAGCTAAATTAATAAAATCATTATGATATCTTCAATCTTTGTCAGAAAGAAAAGTTAACAATAATAACATTTCCAGACAGTAAAAACCTTCTGAATGAGAGATCAGAAATAATGACACGATGCATACACACTAAAAAATTCCTTTTGAGTTCATACGAATTACGATGAAAGTATCTACATTTCATATAACCTCCTCCAATACAATTTCAATGCCCTTGTATTTCTCCTCCCCTTCTACTACAGTTTTGCGTTTATTTATAAGCCTTAGGAAATTATTTATCCCGAATCGCCAGCAGATACCGAAAGGTAGAAACCAAGGTAGCGTGATCGGCTGATCTCCTAATTCATATATATATATATATATATATATATATATATCGTTCAGAGATTGTTTCTCTGATATTAAAAATAAACTCACTACATATATTAGCTTTACTACAACTACGCTTTCGCATAGACTTACCTGTCACCTTTTTTATCTTAGTTCTATTAAAAAAACATTTCTTAGCAAAACATAGCCATGTACATAATATTAGACAGATATTAGTTGATAACACAATAATACTCACACACACGCAGTAAAACGAACCTTCAGATATTGGAGGCCATCTACATTTAAACAAAGGAACCCACATTCAACAAAATTATAATACAAACTAGTCTCAACATATTACATTGCATCTAGGCATATGATTCTGTTGTTCATATTTAGGCCTCTCAGGTGGTATGACGTCATAGAACTGCATCATGAATTTACGACCTGCGTCTGATATTCTGAAACCGTTATCGTCGCATATCGATATTCTATGCCAACATAACAGAATATCTTAAAATGTCCGCATAACCACTCTGAAGATGGCTCATGTGAGCCGAAAGCTTAGATCAAGGACCAACTTAATAAAAAATATCCAAATGTTGGACAATTTTCGTCTTTATTTTCAACCGAAGTCTAGAGCGGCTCATAATCAGACATAGACATTCATTGTCTGTTATATTTAACAATATTTGGTTATTTATTTTTATATATATATATATATATATATATATATATATATATATATATATATATATATTTGGATAAAAAATAAAAACACTTTAGGTTCCATATAATAAATTATTTCACCACAGCTCTTTTAAAGGGCTCTGGATCATCAGACATATGCTTAATACGGCCCGTCAAAAATGGCGTAAATTTCTTTTCATTTTTCATTTCAACCTTTGAAAGTAAAGTCTGATGATCCGCAGTCCTTTAAAAGGGCTGTGGCGAAATAATTTATTACATGGAACCTTAAAGTGGTCTGTTTTTATCCAAATATATATCATATATATATATATATATATATATATATATATATATATATATATATTTTGCTCTGAATTTACATTGAGCTCTCCGGATATCATCCTCCTTGGGTTTATCCATACGGATTACCTAGTTTTGCATAAACTATATATATATATATATATATATATATATATATATATATATATATATATTTATAATCCATTCATTTTGAATCCAAACCAGGCTAGAGGAGGTTGTCAAAAGTGTGGATGTGCTTCCTTTAGGAGTCAAAGACCATGATGCAAATCGGAGATTAGAAACTCCAATCCCCCAAAAAATATTCAAATTT